TTAATTACGTTTAAGTAGCTTCAAATTACGTCAGAGTACTTGAAATTATGCTAAAGTACTTTAAAGTATTCTTAATGATCTAGATATGCATAGAACAAAATTAAATAGTGTTGAAAAACTATGAATGATTAGTTTATTCACTTTTTACAACAGTAAATACTAGTATAACAGAAAAAAATATGAAATGAATAAGTTTACTAATCATGACCAGGTGTTTGTTGCATGACACGAGATAAACGATCACTTGATAATTTCGTTATCTGACTCGATTGCAGCCAGCAGGCCGATTGTTTGTGAAGATACTTAATATTGTCATTTATTTTGACTTTGAAATACGATTTTCTTATGGCAGGATTAATATTATCAACTATTCTTATCCCATTAAAATCTGATTTTGTTGAATTTAATATATTTTCATCATCATCACTAACACCGTCGCTTTGAGCATCAAATAGAATTTCATCAATAAGTTGGTCTGGTGCATAATTGATGACGTCATTATCTTCATTTTCTTCATCCAATCCAAACTCGTCAGTGGTGTTATTTTCTGTTCGGAAAGAATAATTAATCATTCTTGAATTTTTATTTAACATGTCGAAGATATAACTACTTAAATCATTTAAACAATTTATTTGATGCTCATTTAATTTAACTAGTATTTTTGAATATTTAACAAGACGTAATGCTTGATCATATGCATTTGATATTAATTTTTGAATATCTAAGGTATCAATATTATCTAATTGATGTGATGATTGTAATGGATGTTCGCATTTGTGTTTGTGATGTATGGGGAATGATAGATCTTTTTCCAAATGATTATGTTTAAATTGATTTAATATTGATAGTTTTTGTGAACGTCGCATAAAATCTTTTACGGTAAAATTGACGACCGTTGAGGATGTACTGCTTAATGATCTTGCATCTCTAAATAATGACTCGCATGGTTGTGAATTGAATAAATGTATATTGATTAATGCTTGCTTTGGTAAATGTTGCTGTTTCACTAATAGCACTAAATATAGTAAATTCTGTGCGTTCAACTCAACAGACATGTATGCGGGTCTAGTAATAAAGTATTTGTTAATTTTATTTTTTCTGTTGCTTGTTGTTTGGCTGGTTTTCGATGATTTCAAAGTTGATGTTTTTTCTAAGCAAGACCACCACAGGCGACACAGAAATACTACACACCATGCTGATTGAATACCTAAATACATAGAAAGTGTTAACAATTAATTAGTTTGACCTTTTTCGTTCCTAATGTTAAAAATGGACTTACGTTCATGAATACTTGTCGATTTATCACTGTATGCTTTTACTATCATTTTTAACAATGTTAAATAAACAACTGTCGCATTGCTATCTATACTATCATTAAGAAGATTTATTACATCGTCTGATATTAACTTAATACATGAATTATCATTTTGGCGATCTTTAGGATTAATATCACTTTTCGTCAAACCATGATCTAATTTTGTATAACTATTGTTATCGATTAGTTGTTCCAAGGGGGAAAAAGCGGATCCTGGTGGATCCTGGGATCCATTAGGATCCGTCAGGATCCATAGGATCCACCAGGATCCACTAGGATCCATCAGGATCCACTAGGATCCATCAGGATCCAGTAGGATCCACTAGGATCCATTAGGATCCATTAGGATCCATTAGGATCCATCAGGATCCACCAGAATCCATTAGAACTCATTATCATTTATGAAGATAG